AAGATTCAAGCTCTCTTGAACATGAAGAGCCTGGCTAGTGTAAAGTAGGTTCAGAGTTTAACAGGGCAAGTGGCCGCACTAAGCAAGTTCATTTCCCGAGGTACAAACAGGTGCCTATCTTTCTTTGAGACATTGAAAGGGAACAAGTGTTTCAAGTGGACTGAAGAGTGGGAGAAAGCATTCTAGGAGTTGAAGAAGCACTTAAGATAACCTTATTTGCTATCAAAGCCCATCCAAGGTGAGCCCTTTTTGTTGTACTTGTCTGTATCTAAGTCCCCAATTAGTGTGACTTTGGTACCCGAAGAAGGGGGAGTGCAGTGGCTGGTGTATTATGTGAGCAACCGGTTGCTCAATGCCGAGACAAGCTATCCAAAAACAGAGAAACTCGCCTATGCACTCATTGTAGCCGCTTGGAAGTTGCGGCCCTATTTTCAGGCACACTCCATTCATGTTCTGACCAACTTCCCACTGAGAAAGATAATGCAAAAGCCCAAGGCATCGGGCATATTAATTTAGTGGAAGCTTAGCCAACATGACATCAAATACATCTCAAGAACCGCAATTAAAGGACAAACTTTGGTTGACTTTATCTTATAGTTCTCATATCAACCCAAGGGGGAAAAAAGCCCGCCAGAAGTGAGCATCTCAGAAGGAAACAAGCCGGTCGAGCCGAAGCTCGACAGTCTATGGTAGTGGACTTTGCATATGGATAGGTCCTCAAATGAAAAAAGGGACGAGAGCTGGGCTTTTGCTTGAAAGTCTTGAAGGGAACCCAATCTATGCAGCAGTCTGATTTGTGTTTGCCGTCTTGAACAATGAGGCAGAGTATGAAGCTATGCTCTGGTCATTTTGAAAAGCAAGTAATGATGTATGAGTATCTGATTTGTGTTTGCACACTCGGACTGAATATGACCATACTCCTCACACTTAAAACATTTTATTCCTTTGCTTTTCTTTTTATTTTCTCTCGAAAATATTTTCGAGAAGACAACTTGACCAGATTGGTCTAAATTTTTTTTAACAAAGGGTTGTTTTCCGTTATTACCCTCACTCGGTTTTCTCATATTCTTCTTTAAGAACTTTGCAAATTTTTTCATAAGCAAATCACACTCATCATCTTCTATATCACTAGTATGAAAATCACCAGAAGGTTCAGAGATCACCTCATGTTTCAGGGCAAGACTTTTACCTGATTTCTTATCTCATCGTTTCAGGTTTAGCTTAAAGGTTTGCAAGAATCCAATTAGTTCATCCTGCTACATCTCATCGAGGTTACGACATTCTTCAATAGAGGTGGCCTTAGACATGAATCTCTTGGGTACAGAGCGACACTTTCCTAACAAGTTCAACATTAGTATATATTTTACCCAAAGCAAAACATTAATTTGCAACATCACACAATCTGCCTTGAAAATCAAAAATTTTGTTTCATCATCATGCATAACAAGATTTTCATAGTCAGTTATTAATCTTCTAAGCATAGTCTTTTTTACAATGTTTGTTCCTTCAATTTTTACTAGGAGTCTATCCCATATATCCTTAGCCATTTCACAGTTTGCTATATTTTTCATTTGATTAATACTAATAGCATTAAAAATAGCATAAAGAGCTTTTGAGTTAAAATTAGACTCTTCTAACTCAGCCTTAGTCCATTGATCTATGGCTTTTCCTTTGCTTCCACTTGCTTCATCAACTTTAGGTTCTTTCCAACCAACATTACAAGCCCTCCAAGCCCTCTCATCAATGTATTTCAAAAAGGCACGCATCCTAGGTCTCCAAAAAGCATAATCGATTCCCTCTAACAAGGGTGGTCTATTGGTAGACCCTCCTTCACTAAGCAAACTTATAGTAAACAGAACATCAAAGGTCGTCACAAAGGATTGATGTGATCACACACAAGCACTCAAAATAAAAGTAATCACAGTTAGAAAACACAAGACAGATGTGGTGACACAGAACACAAATGTGGTCACACAAGGTCTGTAGCAAGAAAAACTGTAAAAAAAAAAAAAAAAAAAAAAAAGTAAGGATCTATGAATAAATCTTCATAACACGCTTTGACCCAATTGAAAGTTTTAAACCGTTATCATGTTGATTAAAACTTATGCGGAATGTAATAACTTTTTTAAGAAGTGCTTAATGAGTTTTAAACGAATTTAAACATGTTTAAACCATGCACAACAAAATCAGAAACACAATCATTTTACATGTTTTGGCAAGTTGCCTACATCCATGAGATCAAGTCCAGAAGAAGCTAATCCACTATAAAACATTATATGTTCATTACAAAGACAGAATTAGTATCAGTTGTAAAACTCCATGTTTAGACAACACTCAATCTTGGCTCTTGGTTGAACTTCAAACCACCATAGCTAGCTTCTCTTCCATGAGACCACTTGGTCACACTTGACTCCTCTTAAGTTCAACGATGAAGATTACTTCGGCAAAGCTAGCTCGAACACGTCCAATCATCAACACGTACAACATTCCCAAAAACAAACTCACACAAAGCAAAAGTTATCAAAGGTAAATTTAAGCCTACCAAGGCATAGGAAACCAGCATTAAGAACTAAAAAACCTCACAAAAATATTCAGAGAGAGCAGAGATAATTTGTCTTCCTTTAAAAAGTCACAATAATAAAAGGAAAATATATATACATGTGACAAGGATTGGGAAACGAAAAATCCTTTTTAGATTTGTCTTCTTAGCTAAGGATTCCTGAATTCATAATCTTCTTTTAAGAAAAGATTCTTGAACTTATAATCTCTTTTAAGAAAATGATCTTGAAATCATAATCTTCTTTTAGGAAAAGATTCTTGAGATCTTAATTGTTTCCTGTTTGCAATTATAACAATTTTCATGTGATCTACATATTCTAAATGCCACAATTGTTTGAATTAATTGTAATACGTCTCGGACATGAAGAGTACGTTGAACACTTATGTCATCGCCCATACAACAGAGAGTCGATAAGGAAATTCTGCAAACATAAAATTTTTAGAAAATTATACAAACCACTTACGATGGGAGAGGGGGAAAGATAACCTTGCACCAATAGTCAGTTGCTATGGTGATGGAAGGGAAATTGTCTTGACTTTTCTTTCAAAGACCTTCTCATGTTTTCATCATCTGATTGGGTTTACTGTAGCACACTTGGAGCCAACTATTCTTGTATTTATTTGTTCAAGGCACTACAAAATTCAAATAACACTTTCTTATCACTACTTTCTTGAAGATATATAGCATATGCATAGCGCCTTGCATGATGAAACATGAGAAGGTCTTTGAAAGAAAAGTCAAAGAACTATTGAGCCACATCCGCATTTCGAAAAAGCGTAAAAGCAAACACTGAAAAGAAACCAACGAAGCTAAAGCGAAGGTGTAATTTGATGCATTTTGGTATGCAATCACAAACACTATTGCTGTTATATGATATCTTACCTAAAGTTACTCATTTATATGATTAAGATTGCTAAAGGTCTGCAGTGAACAGTCAAAGATGAAGCTCCCTCTTCCGTTCCTGTTAAATTTTTAGGTACATAAAATTAGTCGGCGGTAAGTCAACTGCAGTTTCCATTGTCTTTACATGGTTTGAAAATTTAGTGACAATGATAAAATCATGAGTCAAATTTCAATAATTACATCACGGTTGAATAAGACGTTCCTGAGAAGACATTCAAGTGTGACTTTAGGTTGTAAATTAGTTATTGCAGTTGTGAATTCGAGGAGGAACTTTGAGTGAGATGACAATAATGTCCGCATTCTGAACTTTATTTGATTCCGAAGGATTTTAAAATCTGAAATGAGAAGTTTTAAAATGAGAATTTATTGTCTTTTTCAAATACAAACTGTTAGTTGATTATTAACTGATTGTTAATTTACTTGAAACTGTTAGCTAGCTTCTCTTCCATGGGACCACTTGGTCACACTTGAACTCCTCTCCCAGTTTCAACGATGAAGGATTACTTTGGCAAAGCTAGCTCGAACTCGTCCGTCATCAACACCGTTACAACATTACAAAAAACAACTCACCCAAAGCAAGAAGTTAATCAAAGGTAATTTAAGCCTACCAAAACTAGGACACCGTCTTAAAGAACTAAAAAAAACCTCACAAAAATATTCAGAGAGAGCAGAGTATAATTTGGCTTTCTTAAAAAAGTCACAATAATAAAAGGAAAATATTATAACATGTGACAAGGATGGAAACAAGAAAGAATCCTTTAGATTTGTCTTCTTATAAAAGGGTTTCCGAATTCATAATATTCTTTAAGAAATGATCTTTTAAGAAAATGATTCTTGAACTTATAATCTCCTTTTAAGGAAAGATTTTTGAAATCATAATCTCCTTTTAAGAAAATGATTCTTGAAATCATAACTCTTTTAGGAAATGATTCTTAAGATCTTAATGGAATAAAATCTTTCTAGCTCACATTAATATATAATGTCCACATAAACTTTCTACAACCAAAATAAATACACTTTATTAAGGTAGGTACGATAGCAAAATATTAAAATAAATGTCAGACGTGTTGTGATCCCTGTAATTCTATGTGACCACCTTAACTAACCTAAATAGATTGTGCACAATTCGAATGATAATTGACAAAACAAATACTTACATCTGCATGAAGACATATCTTCTTACTCCATGTCTTAACAATATTAAAACAAGAGTAATGCTATATATGCAACTATTATACAACTATTTCCCATACACTATTTAAAAGAGATTACATGACAAACTACAGGGTTTGTTTTATTAATTTGTAGAAATAATTTGTTAAATAGTTTGGATAATGTAACATTGCTCTTTAAGTACACATAAAAGCCAAAAAAACAACTTGGCTAATTTAAAAACAACAAATTTAAACATCTAAATTAATAAAACTAGACTTAATTTAGGCTCTAAGACCAAAAAACAAAACACCCTTACATTATTATTCATCCGGACTGTTACACTGTGGCATCAAACTAGAGCGGGTAAAAGTGGATCCATCTTTCAAACATCTCGTAACTTCTCTGCTTTCCTTTCCATTCCGTAGAGAGTGACCTGATCCCTGTACAAAATATACATAAATTATGGTTTCACAATTAATAAACAATGAAATGGTTTTACAACGCGTTCTTACTCTTTGAAGTGGCAAAGTTAGTCGATATCCATATTTTGAATACTTCATTTGTACTAAATTGAAGATGCATTCCATGTATAAATAGGAATGAATTGGTTTCATATTGAATCAAATTAAAAAAGTTGAAAGATTAGATTGTAGAATCTGCAGACTTATAAACTTACCCTGCAACTTGACCACCAACATACCACGGTCTCCAATCTTCATCCAAACTTATTCCGAGTTCAGATAGCCAATATTCTGTTGATATATGTGAATAACTAGATCATGATCACCCACTGCATTAAGAATTAGGCTTAAGTCAACAGAATGTTCTTATATGTTATTTGAAATCAGATGAGTCATGGATAAACAGAAATGTAAATTGAAGAAGATCTGTAAGTAATTTTGCAGGCCAGTTTTGGTAAGATTTTTTTGGTAGTCAAGGCCTTCCCAGATCATACACATATGTACCAGAAGCGAAGGTTTGGTTGCACCTACCGCCACTCTTGAATTGTTCCCTGTTTGCAATTAAAACAATTTTCAATTTGATCTACATATTCCCAGCCACGATTGTTTTGAATTAATTGTAAATACCTCTCGGACATAGAGCACGTTGAACACTAATGTCATTCGCCCATACAACAGAGAGTAGATAAGGAAAATTCTGCAACAAAAATTAGTTAGAAAAATTATACAAACAACGCTTACAGAAGATGGGAGAGGGGGGAAAGATAACCTTGCACCAATAGTCAGTTGCTATGTTGATGGAAGGGAAATTGTCTTGACTTTTCTTTCAAAACCTTCTCATTTTTTCATCATCTGATTTGGGTGAAACTGTAGCACACTTGGGAGCCAACACCATTTCTGTATTTATTTGTTCAAGGCACTGCAAAATTCAATAACACTTTCTTGAAGATATATAGCATAGCGCCTCGCAGTAAACATGTGAATATGAGAAAAAAAAAAAAAAAAAATTTGATATACCCTCTGACCTCATCGATTTTTCCTATCCTCCTGAGGCATTCCCCACTGGAGGTACTAGAATCCACGTAGAAGAAATCGCCATCGCAATTTTTTTTGGCTGACTGTAACAGAAGAAGACGTTTTAAATTTCCGCTCATATTTAGTTTAGTGATCATGAAACATATTAGCAGAGAACAAATAGAGGTTAAAGCCTTTAAAAATTAGAATATTTATGTCTTTTCAGTTGGAAATCACCTCGTACAAACTCTTGGATAATATTCCCAGCTGATGAGCTAATGGTACTTTATCATTTCTTCAAGTTCACCATCTGTATGTGGTGATCCCACTTATCCCCCCTGATTATTCATAATACAAGATTAGTTTTATAATTTACAAGTATGATTCATCATTGATGTAACGACCAATAGGCTAACCACGGTATGTGTTCTAGAGCATTACGACTAGATTTATTGTGTTGGCTCCTCTCCAGCTTCATTACTGCAAATTAAGCCTAAATAAAAAACTAAAAAATAGCTTAAGCGATATATCACTACTTGGCTGAAATTGATAAAAAAAAAAAAAATTACCGTCCAATATTCTTGTGCGATGATTGGAGCAAGTATGCCAGAATAAGAGTCAGTAGCAATAAAAATCGTTGGATGATTGAGGATGCTCCATCAACCACTGCATTTTGAGTTAAAAAATTGATAATCCTATTTCACAAAGACAACTTATTTATGAAAATTCTTCACCTTTCTTATAAATACATGAGATTGATTCACTGATTCTAAGTCTGAGATACTGTATCCGATGCATTTGTTGAATAGGAGTAACCAGAGCCAACAGGGACATCCGCAAATATTTATACTGGCACTCTGCAAATTATCACCATCATACAATCATAATATCATTTCCCTACCATCAGTCGTCCACATATAGTTTAAATTTTGTACCTTTGTCCATGTGTAGGGTACAAATGTACGTTGGCAAGCCCCCAGTGTAATAGCATCATCAAATTGTAGTGGTCCTGAAAAAAAAGTAGACATAGTCCTGCAATTAAATTTAATGTCCTTAAACTATTTAGGTGCATGCATTGCAGAACAATATCTGAAAATACCAGTTTGGAAGAGGAAGCCATTCAAGCAGCACAACCAGGGCCTCCAACTATATAATAAAGAACAGATCCACTTCAGGATTTCCTGTGACTCCACAAACAAAAGAGTTCTGAATTCCCACGCTAACATATCTGAGTTTGCAAAATCTCCCATATCATAGTTACATATAGTTAAAATGCAAGTAAAAAATGAAAAAAAAAACTGACCCAGTTTCAAGTTTGAAAGGTAAACACCGGAAAGCCTGGTAGGTCCGAACTATTGAGCCACAATCCGCATTTGAAAAAGCGTAAAACAAACACTGACAAAACAAAGAAGCTAAAGCGAACGGTGTACTTTGATGCCATGTGTATGCAAAATCACAAAACAACTATCGCTGTCATATGATATCTTACCTAAAGTTATCTCATTTATATGATTATGAAGATTGCTAAAGTCTGCATGAACAGTAAAAGATGAAGCTCCCATCTTCCGTTCAGTTAATTTTAGGTACATAAAATTAGTTGGCGTAAGTCACTGCACTTTCATTGTCTTTAAATTTGTGTAACGTTACTTAATATATAATTCCATAGCGAAAGTCGTTATTAAATTATTTATTAATGGTTTCAAAATTTATATTAATATTTCAAATTCTTTATTATTTATATATTTAATTATTTTTGTAAATAAAAATATTTATATAAACATGGGCTCTTTCCTTGGTGCGGCGCTTGGATAAAAAAGAAAACCCTGGACAACTTGGGTGAGCCCAACCCGGGCCGGACGTATTTACATCCCTTGTTTGCCCCTTATTATAGTACATGGAGCCCCGAGGATGAAAATGATATTCTCTTTCAAAAGTAATTGTCGACTTCCCAAATCTATATCAAATTTTGCACTTTAAACAGAGATTCATCATTCAAACTTCTGGTCCTTTTTGGTTTGGTACTTTTCCAGCTACAACTCATCTCTTAGTTCTAAGTGGTTTCGTCTGCTCTTTATTTTAAAGAATATATTTCGTATAAATAAGAGAATTTTATTAATTTTAAATATAAAAAATAATTTTTTATTTAAATAATTATTTAAATTTTAGAAGAGAGAATATATTTTTTCAAAAAAAGAAAAGAAATAAATAATAAATAAAATACATAAAATATTTACCTAAAGTTATCTCATTATATGATTACCAAAGATTGCCAAGGCCTGCAGTGAACTGTAAAAGATGAAGTCTCCCATCTTCCGTTCCAGTTAAATTTTTAGGTACATAAAATAGTGGGCGGTAAGCACCTGCAGTTTCCATTGTCTTTACATGATTGAAAATTTATTAAGAATGATAAAATCATGAGTCAATTCAACACATTACATCAACGGCTGAATAAGACTTTCCTGAGAAGACTTCAGTGGTGACTGTAGTTGTAAAATTAGTTCTTGCAGTTGTGAATTCGAGCGAGGAACTTTTGATAGAAAAACAGTTAGGGTGCGTTTGGTTAGTATTTGTATGGATTTAAGGATAGGTAATTGGTTATGGATATGGAGTATTACGAGGTAAATTTTAAAAATTTATAAACTCCCTTAGGTTTACTAATTTACATAAAGACCTAACTGTAAAATGACAAAACACCCCCCCATCTGCAGTGTCAGATTCGTCGCCCACCACCGCCGGAATCTGGCGCAAATTTCGTTACGGCACAGACTGTCGGATCTGTGCCGTACACTCGTTTGTTATGGCCTTTTCCGGCTAGAATCCATGGTGGATCTGCCGAAAAGGCCAGATCTACGTTTGTTTTGGCCGTGCGACGGCCGAAAAGCCAAACGACGGCCATCTTTGGCCGTCAGCACTGCCAAAGATGTGGCCGTCGTTTTCGGTCAACGACGTCCAAGATTTGGCCGTCTGACGGCCATAGTCTGGCCTTTTCCGGCCAGATCGTGGTGGATCTGGCCGAAAAGGCCACAGCGTGAATTCCCCGTCCATTTTCTTCTGTCAAAAAAAAAAAAAGGTTTGGCCGTTGTACAGATTCCGGCTATCACCGACGGTGGTGGCCGGAATCTGACAAGTTGGGTTGATGGGGGTGTTTTTGTTAATTTTTAAACTTTTTTTTCAGGGGGTATTTAGTGAAATTAATAACCTTATGGGGTTAAAATGTAATTAAAAAAATAGGGTAATATTTTGAGAATATTGTACCAAACGCTATTTGAAAAATAGGATCCAGAATAGGGATAAAAATATTACACCAAACGCAGCCTTAATGTCTGTAGTTCTGAACTTTATTTGGTTCCGAAGGATTTTAAAATCATGATATATGAGAAGTTTCAAAATTGAGAAGTTATTGTTTTTTTCAAATACAAACTGTTAGTTGATTATTAACTGATTGTTAATTTACTCGAAAAACGCATTGCATAAAGAGTAAAGGACATATTTCGGTTCGAATTTGTTATGCCTGAAAAATATAGGACTGACGCAAGACTCGGTCAGTATAAAAGGTCAGAGTTTGAATAGGCCCGCAGCCAGTTAAAAGCAGCCACGTTGCATGGTATTGGATAAGTTCCCGTGGTATTTTCATTTTAAACTCGTTTAAAATGATTCCACCCATGATGAAGGGGCGTGAGAAGTGGAAACTGCCGAAGGCAGTTTCTCACGAACCGCTCCCATATAAAAAGAAAAGTTTTCTTTTTAGATGAGGTTACTCACTGTCACTCTCAAAAAAATACGCAAAGGAAAAATACGCTCTCTCTCTCTAGAATTTGGAAAACAGGAATACACTTCGTGGTTTTCTTCCATATTAACTTTGTTGCTTCAGAGATAAGGAAAAAAGGTATTTATGTTGTGTTAATTCATTGTAGTTCATTTATATACAAATGTGATTGCAATGGTGACTATGATCTTGGGATTATGTTAGGATATATGTTATTCTATGTTATTTTCAACACGTGGTGACCTGAGCAGCCCACTCCTGTCAGTAAAATGGGTGCGCGCCATAGCAGCTAGAAGCCATAGTAACTCCACGTGTCCGATCCCTGCACCAAATAGCGTAAATAGCTTTGGAAGGTGGGCAATGTGACATAAAGATGGATTTGCACGAATAATCCCACCAACTCACAGATTTAGTAATGATAACCTTAATCCATCCCACTATAAATTGACAGCTCTTCTCTTATTTATGGGATTAGCTACTCTCTCTCTTAAAAATACATAAGCATTCTCTCTTGTACAATCATTTGTAAGTCAGTCCGCTAACGCGACCTCACCCCTATCATTAATACAAAAATCAGTGGACGTAGAATTCGCTTCCTTAGCATCTGAACCACTTTAAACACTGTTGTCCATTGCATTTACTCTCATTTTCATATTTACGTGTGTTCTCTGGGTCTGCTCAGCATTTCACACGTGCGTTTGGTTGGTGTCAAAATCACGCATCAACAGAATTCAACTGAAATATGTCGTATATTAAAAAAAAAAGAGTGAGGATCTACTGAAATAACTCTTCATAACACACTTTGATACCAATTGAAACTTTTAAACTATTATAATGTTGATTAAAACTTATGCAGAATGTACTAACATGTTTAAGAAGTGCTTAATGAGTTGTTTAACGAATTATCAACATGTGTAAATCATGCACAACAGAAAATAAAGAACATAATTATGTTTACATGGTTTGACAACTTGCTTACATCCATAGGACCAAGTCCAGAAGAAGCTAATCCACTATAAAATAATTATCTGTTCAATTACAAAGACAAGAATAAGTATTACTTGTAAAACTCCCTGTTTAGACAACTCTTCAATCTTGGCTCTTTGGTTAAACCTCAAACCACCAAAGCTAGCTTCTCTTCCACGAGACCACTTAGTCACACTTGAGCTCCTCTAAAGTTTCAATGATGAAAGATTACTTCGGCAAAGCTAGCTCGAACACGTCCAGTCATCAACACGGTACAACGTTCCAAAAAACAAACTCACACAAAGCAAGAAGTTAATCAAAGGTAAATTTAAGCCTACCAAAGCATAAGAAAACCATCATTAAAGAACTAAAAAAACCTCACAAAAATATTTAGAGAGAGCGTAGGTATAATTTGGTTTCCTTAAAAAAGTCACAATAATAAAAGGAAAATATATATACAAGATTGGGAAACAAGAAGGAATCCTTTTTAGATTTGCCTTCTTAGAAAAAAATTCCTGAATTTATAATCTTCTTTTAAGAAAATGATTCTTGAAATCATAATCTCTTTTTAAGAAAATGATTCTTGAAATTATAATTTTCTTTTAGGAAAATGATTCTTGAGATCTTAATGGAATATAATCTTTTCTAGTTCACATTAATATATAACGTCCACATAAAACTTTCCACAACCAGAAATATAATCACATTTAATTAAGGCAGGTATGATATGCAAGAATATTAAAATAAAATATGTCAAACGTGTTGTGATCATTACAATTCTATTGTGATTACCTTTTAAACTGAACCTAAATAGATTGTGTATTAATCTGAATGAATAAATTGACTAAAAAAAATATTTACATATGCTAATGAAGACATATCTTCTTACTCCATGTCTTAACAATATTAAAATAAGAGTAATGTTACATATACAAATTAAATATGCAAACTATTTATCAAACTATTTCCTATAAATAATATTAAAAAGAGATTACATGACAAACATACAAGGTTGTCACATCAATTTGTAAGGAATAATTTATATATGTAACATTAAATTTTAAAAGAGCGAATATGCTTTTTCAAGAAAGAAATTTAATAAGAGAGATAAATAATAAATAAAATGTATAGAATATCTTTGAGCTATTTATTTCTTACTACAACTTAGAAAAGGAAGAGCCAGTGGGGATAAAAAGCAACAATCCTTGGAAAAACCTAAAAGGAGAGACTTTAGAGGCCTCTCTTCTCATATAGCAGCCATTTAATCCATTCCTTTCTCATATAGCAGCCATTTAATCCATTCCTTTCTTTCCTTGCTTAACTTACGGGCTTTAAAAGGTTATTGCCTGTACCATTAGCCTACGATGGCATATTATACTACGGGCTATAACTAGCAAGCTTAGTGGGACTAGCTTGAATGGATTGCCTTACCTAAAGTTATCCCATTTAATGGTCTGCAGTGAACAGTAAAAGATGAAGCTCCCATCTTCCGTTCCAGTTAAATTTTTAGGTACATAAAATTAGTTGTCGGTAAGTCAACTTCACTTACCATTGTCTTTAAATTTGTGTAACGTTACTTATACGTATAATTCCATAGCGAAAGTCGTTTATAAAAGTATTTATTAATGGATTTCAAAATTTATAATTAATAATTTTCAAATTCTTTATTATTTATAACTTTAATTATTTTATGTAAATAAAAAAAATATTTTATAAAACATGGGCTCTTTCCTTGGTACGGGCTTGGATTTTCAAAAAATACCCTGGACAAGCTCGGGTGAGCCCAACCCGGGCCGGACATATTTACATCCCTTGTTTTGCCCCTTATTATAGTGCATCAAAACCACAAGGATGAAAATGATATTCTCTTTCAAAAGTAATTGTAGACTCCCCAAATTCATATATCAAATTTTGCACTTTAAACACAAGACTCATCATTCAAATCTTCTGGTCATTTCGGTTCGGCTACTTTTCCAACTTACAACTCATCTCTTAGTCTAAGTGGTTCCTTTGCTTTTTATTTTAAAGAACACTTTTTGTATAAATAAAAAATATCTTCGTTAATTTTTAAATATAAAAGTAAATGTTTTATTTAAATCTAATAGACTTTTTAAATTTTAAGAGAAAAAATATGTTTTTTCAAGAAATAAACTTAATAAGAGAGATAAATAATAAATAAAATAAATAGAAATTTATTATTTATTATTTAAAATTAAGATAAAGAATGAAATTTAACTCTCTAGATGTGGAGAGCTAAACTCATTCTTTAAATTATATTTAAAGAATAAAAAGTCCATTAGACTTTTGTTTTTATGAATAAACTCTTTATAATAAAGAGTTTGAGTCATACAAAGAGTAATTTGAAGATGCTCTAATAGTCTCATTTAATGTAGAAATATCATCAATTAGGCTACAAAGTTTTTAGATTTTTTATATAAGAGGATAAAAGCAACAAATTATTTGCCGTTAACTTTTACAAAAAGTGAAAAATGATGCTCTTTGACTTTTTTTCTTTTTTCTATTTTTGAAGTTAATTTAGTACTTAAATTCTAAATTTAAAAATGTTAAAATAACTATTAAAAAAAAAA